AGGTGTTTCGGCTCAAAGATCGGGCAATCCCAGGCGCCGCGCCGCATATCCGACGCCCCGAATTCCCGCCCCATGTCCTTCTTCGACCAGCTCCGGAACACTGCGCAGGAAGCGCAGGAGACGCAGCGGGCTCAGGAGATGGCAGCAGTTCAGCGGTTCATCAAGTTCTGGGTAAAGAAATTCCAGAACGAATGCGCAGCTGCAGCGCGCCGAGGTGGCACCCGCGCTTCGAAGAAGCTGCGTCAGAAAGACATCCCGCACGGAGAATATTACAACATGGACCGTGATGCCGTGGCCCAGGAGCTGGCGGAGAGCCTGCGGAACCTAGGCGCCCAAGTGCAAGTGGACGCGTGCTGGCCTGGGGTTGCTGACATCACCGCCGAGTGGGGCCAAGCACCGACCTCACCTCCCGAGGCCAAGGCCACAACCGGCCACGTCGGAAGCTGCCCAATCTGCATGGAGACCCGGCCCGTGGTGGCGCTGGTGCCTTGCGGCCACACGGTCTGCGGCACGTGTTGCAGGAGCCACGACCTGCGGCAGTGCCCGCTGTGCAGAAGGCAGGTCACCACAGCCACGGAGGGCCTCTTCGTTTAGTGAGCCGCAGTGAGAGGCAGTCTGGAGCCTGACTTCGATAAAGCACCATGGCTTAAGCACTTAGTGTTGTGTAGTCCGACTTGTGCAAATGTGTGCTTATTGTAATGGTGTTCTCTACATGGTTGTTTGGAGGTGCTCAGGGGCACTGCAAATGAGGGGGGATGCTTGCAGTCGCCAGCCGTCCATATCTGAGGATATCAGGCCACTCGGAATTCAAAAGAGCCACAGCGCTCTCAATCTCTTCACTCACCCCACGCCTCCACCATGGACGAGACTTTGCGTCTGAAGCGAGTAGCAGTGTCGAAACAGGAGGAGCGAACCGGCTAGGGACAATTTTCCGAATTGGTACTTAGGGGCACTTGTTTTGAGCCAGGGGCAGTTCGACAACGGAAGATGCTGGTATGCCAATGTGTTTGGATAGGAAACCTTTTTTGGAGTAAATTGGAACCAACAGCAAGCCGGCCTAGTTTTGATTGCAAGCCGCGCCTCCCTTCAGACCCAAACTGGGCATTGTGAGAAAGCCAGCCGACTCTGCAAAGTAGTTCAAGTAATTAAACCCCTCCAAAAGTTTTAGGCGTTGAACACTTGCATTTTTGGTTGCATTGAACGGGAAACCAAAAGGAAACCAAATCGCCGGACTGAATCCCACTTTAAGCAACCCATGTGTTGGACGTTTCGAGAGAGAAGGCACACTTGGAGAGGAAGCTATCGGATGGCCAGAATCGATCATGGTGCGGATGGGAAGCAGTTGATGAGACATGGCTCTCAACTGAGACCCCTCAAGGAACCCGCAGTTGGTTGATGCTGTTTGCTGAGATCTAGTAGCCTCATGGATGCGTTGCAAGGTATCCAATGGCATAGGATGAAGGCGTGTTAAGTATTGCAGCGGGCATTTACTCCTCTGCAAAATATCATGGAACCCAAACATAGGCTCCTTTGCGTTATTCTTTAAGAGCGTAAACTTAAGAACCCGCATTTGTTCCATCAGAAGCAAGTCAGCGAGTCGCACATGTCCAGAATCAAGTAACCCTTTTGGCTTTTTTGGGTTTCCTTCAGTTCGCACTCTTCTCCGGCAAGCAGTCTTCATACTTTTGCAGTGTCCCGGTCGGATCGGCCAATCGGCCGATCGGCCTGCCAAGCTTCCCGTGTCCAACAACACGAGCGGTGAGCTGTGCAGATCGGCAGGTGGTTCCCATCATGAACCAAGCGCTGAACGTGGAGACGGTCATAGAAGTGGATAGGCCGATGCGCTCGATCAAATCAGACCTGTGCATTTCTGCTGTGTCCCTCTTCTTTCGGGATGACTATTTGGGGGCGGACCATGTGCTGGAGACCATTCGGGGATTTGTTTAAGCACTTTTGAGGACCCAACTGACTTGAAACATCGTTTTGCCCTCCAGTCCATGTCTTTGTCATTCCAACCAGGACTTACCCTTTCCTTCCGCATGGAAATCCGCTCAAGATCTGGGAGACTTAAGTCAGGGGTTCAGTACCTGATGTGAGGATTGAATCGTTATAGGCATTTTGGTAAAGCCACCATGTCAAACAGCTCAACGGCAAGCAAGAACTAGAGTTCTCACAAGTACAGTTGGTTCCTGAGATCATGGAGTTTATGCTTTTCGCTAAGGCCATTTTTGCAAGAAGAGAGTGAATGGGCCCAGCTGGGTGCCCTTTGGGGGGTGGTTTTTCGGGGTCCCGGTTTTTCCTCTCGCTCAAGTCATTTTTTAAAGAATCAACGAGAATTCGATTCTCAAATCACAGCACCTGAAGTGTTCATTTTGAGAAATGCTCTAGGCTTTCAGCCATAGGTCGTCCCAACCACCTAAAGGAACAGTTCCCATGTGTGGAAAGCAGGTGGCGCAGGGGGGATGCGTCAACCATTGGGACCATTGTCAACCACCAGGAAAATTCCGATGGATTCAACTGGCTGCCCAAACCCGGGTGTCCGTTTTTTCCGATCGATCGCTACCGCTGGAGACCAAAAATCGTGAGGTGCAGCAGCTGCACGGACTCCCCCGGCACCTGGGTGGACTCTCAAGGGTACTCCTGCCAGGACGGTGCCTCAAGCCGAGTGGCCTGAAGCCGAGGAAATGGCTACACCGGTTTTTTGGTTGGTATTTTTTGGGGGGGACCTGTGGTGTGAAATACCGGAGCTGCCAAGCTTGAAGCTTTTGCTTGGGTGTCTTCGTCGACTGAGGGCCTGAGACGTTTAAGCTGTGACCAATCAACCCAGCAGGTCAGCATCAATGAATGGGACCTCTTTTTGGTGAGTAGACCTCAGAAGAAGCGGTTGGACCTCTTTATTTGGGGACTGATATCACAGTTGTGTTTTTTCTTTTCTGCCGGGTGGGTCAAAACGAGGAAATTGCCGCACAGGCTGAACGGGTCAACAAATGCGCAGTATACCAAAACGCTGCTTGTTTCGATCGAAGTGTTGTTCCTTGTTCGTATTTTGGCCTGCTCGCTGTTGCACGTGTCTTGTTCGCATCATTTCCTTGCACACACGCGGGGGAGCTGCTGATATTTGCAAGCAGACAGCGGCTGATGCTGTGGATGTCCTTCTGCATCCCCAGCATTGCCAACATATAAGTTGATGAGACAGCGACGCACATGTGTTTTGTCACATGCATGAAAGCTACAGCTGGGATCAGTCGGACAAGGTTCAGAACAGAACCTTTCCTGCGTGCTTGGATTAGGGCCTTGGTTTCACTAGTTTGCTCCCAACATGTAAAGCCAGCAGACGCGCAAGGAGGTGGGTAGCATAGAAGGTATATAGATGTAGATAGTAACTGAAATCGGAAACGGGGGGCCGGTTGATTGCCCCCCGTCAACAGAAAGAATAACTAGGTCCCCCAGTAGTGCCCTTACCCTTTTTTGGGGGAGGGTTCCCCTACTAAAATCGACTACACACAAAAAAATGAGTGCCCTTATTCTTGCACCTCTATTGGAGGACCTAGATACAGAAGCTGGCCATGAAATTTGATAGGGCTTAGAGAGATGCAGGCTCTCAGACTCTTTCCTGCTTTGGGGGCATGTCTTTCCCCTCATGTTTCAATGGGGGGGGGTTGCAATGGACAAGTCCAGTCAGACCTGGGGATCACCTAACCTAACGACCAATCCAAACCAACTAGAATAAAGCTGAAAAAAAGGTCGCCTTAACCAAAAAAAGATCATCTTCTGAGTGGTTCGCGCCTTTCGATACGTCTGAATTCCAAACCAGGTCTGAGAGTCTGAGGGGCCCCGCGGGGCCCCGCGGGGCCCAGCGGGGCACGCCAGGACTACGAGACCTTCGGCGCCTGTGACGTCAGCAGTCAGTCCAATGACGCGCTGCTGGCGGGCGGGCGCCTGCGGACCACCCCGGAGTACTTCGATTATCAGCGCCCCGGCAAGTAGCCGCCACGGGGTCATTTCTTTGGTGCATTTTGCCAGGGGATGTCAGGACAGAGTGACTTTTTGCCAACCAATGGGTTTTCCATTGAAACAGTAGAAGTTAAACTTTTAGCAGGGGAGCAGAAAGCAACCGAGATTTGTACCAACCCGGTCTTTGGTTTTCCTTGTGGGCAGTCGGGTCCCTGATTTATTTATTTATTTATTTGGGGGGATTTCCCACTTATTCCTTCAAACGAGAGGTTGGTGGGTGTAGTCTCCACCCGAATGATGTCTAATTCCTACCCACACAAGGGCCTCATGTTGTGGTGATGCTATGCTCGTGGGGCCATGGCAAGAGCTGGTCTTCAGTGGGTCCGAAGTTGACTTTTTGGGGAACTATTTTTGTTGAGGCACACGTTTCAGTTTCAGGTTGGTTCACCGGGAAACTTCAAGGAACTCTGCCCCGCATTTTTTTTGTGGGGTCCAAATCTACATTCTGACGAGCCATACCCATCTGGAGATCTTCCTCGGCCGGAGGTTCCTTTATGACGTGAACATCACGCCCAGCAGCTCGGGCTTCACTCCAGGCCTTGCCCCGGCGCCTTCATATGTGTGTGTGTGTGTTTAGGGGACCCTCCAGACAAGTTGCGGTTTTCCCTTTATCCAACAATATTCAAAAAGGGGTGCCTAAAAAAGAGACACACTTTTTTTGTTGATCTTCCCCAAAAGGGGAAAAGGTCCTGGATGATTCTGGAGAATTGCACAGACCACCTATTTCGCATTCAATTGGTCTCTGTTTGCAGATCCAGCAACCCTTGACTCCATTGAGTTATGACAGGATTCGGCCCTTTTGCGGCGTAGATTGTGGAACAATCGTATAATAATTCCACACATTCTCAACCACCCAAGGATTGGTGCATTACACCGAACCACATCCCTGGACGATTGGGGACATGTAAGGGGAGTGTTGGGGTCATGCTTGGTCATTCGGCATTCAAGCAGATGGCAATAATATGGGCAAAGCTATTTGTCGGGACTCTGGTGAGTTGGTTTGACAAGAACCGAAAGTCCCCTTTTGAACATGTCATTTGCGCCCAAGAGCCAGGCGCTGTTTGGGGCAGGCCAGGTTTGGGAACGTGCTTTTTGCTAAGCATGACTCCACCAAACACACAACTCAAACACAATTGACCAAGGGAAGCATGAGAATATATACACGTCTCAGACATTTTTGCGGTCGGGCTTCTCCTGCAATTAGAACCCATCAGGTCAATCACTGAGATTTCCCCTGTTTCCGTTCCGTCTTACATCCTGGCAGAGGAGGGGGTGTTGCCTCATTTTAGAAAGGATGGGGATCAACCGTTGGCACTCTGGTCAAACTCCGCCAGGCCCTGTTTCAAGAAAAAAAACGACATAGGGAACGATGTTTGGGGGAGAGAGACAAGCACAGAATGCAGTGAGCAGCAAAGAAGCGGAGAATGCAAGTTTCCAAGTTGATGTCTTGCCGCGGCAAGGTTGCAAATCTCCAAACCACTGGGCGTGCGTGTCTACCCCCCCCCCCCCCGCAAAGCGGCTTTCTTCCTCCCCTCTAGGGTTATACACAAGAGTTGATTCCCTATTCTTCCTTCACCCTTCGTTGTCTTTCCAAACCACCAATGTTCCCAGGGGATTGGCCAAATGCAGGG